CCCCAAAACCCCAAAACCCCAAAACCCCAAAACCCCTAATAGACAAAAACACATTGAAACGATTTATATGAGCTTATTTCACTCCTCTGATAATGACATATTGGGAGAGATTATATATTGCGGATCTTCATCTTAGTGAAGTTTGCATTAGTCAATATCTCTTGAGCTTGATTTCTGGTCATCTCGCTGCCTTTCAAGTAGATAATGATTTCTCTATTTCTGATGTTTTCGACTTGGGCAAATCCTTGAATGATGTTTCTAAACTCCTCAAATTTGCCTTGCTTCCATTGGCTTCAAGCAGCCGATCCAGTTCCTACAAAGCTAAGTTGAGTGAACTTTGAATCATCAAGGCTTGTTCCAAAATCAATAGGCTGACTTGTATCTATATAGCAATTTTCAAATCATACACATTGAGCCTCTTTTGCTAACACAAGCATTTCAGTGAATTGCTGCTGATTTAGAGTAAAATTTCTCAAAGCGAAACACTCTGAAGGGAACTTTGCAGCATCTTTAATTGCATCTAAGTAACTGGAACTGAACTCTCTACTGAAATTTTCATACGAGTTATCATTGAAATCTAATATCAGTCCGCGAATTTTGGAATGCATCCCACTCGCTAAGAAGTTTCCAATCAGCTGAGGACAATTGAAATTTTTAAAGCTCGTGATTACTACTTCATCTAGTTCCGGCAGTTTCATAGTTTGAAATAATTTAACTAACCTCTGGCCTTCTGTTTTAGATAAGTCAATATTGAGCTTTGATGGACAAACAAAATGTAATGGATATCCTTTGATTGCATGATAAAGTTCTTTAAAAGTTGTATGGTCCATCTCTTTATTTGAGGCTTCAAGTTGAGTCTCAAGGTGAGCAATTTGTTCTTTCATTTCCTCAATAATAACTTGGGTTTGGATATCTTCGTGACCAACTTCTTGTGTCAGCTCTTCTTTAGACTCCTCTTTGAGCTGTTGCTCTTGGCTCTGGATTGATTCAACTGAAGTCTGAAGGTTACTTATTGTGTGAGTAGCAAGCTCCTTGGTTTCTCTGACTTTCTGAGTATCTTCTTTGTGAGACTGAGCTTCTACATGACTAGCATCTTCATTCTGTATTGAGATATTAGAATAGTTGTTTGAGGCAAAGCTTGCCAGTCCAAAGAGTTTGACCAAAAGTAGTACAGATAAATATCTAGAGTAAGAAGTATAATTTTTAGTAAGGAGTTAGTGTGAAATTTTCTAGCATTTATCGCTTGAAGAGCTCAGTTATAATACTTGCCTTATGTGACTCATTTAGTGCTTCTTGGGGTGAAATTTGGTGGTTTAGGCTCATTGTCATCAAATGCTTAGTATAAAGATTCATCATTTCATCTTGGTAGATTGCATTAAGCAATGAGTCACATTGGTTCTGGAAAGTGCCAATCTCAATCCACCTTCTCTTCTTCTTAATCTTACTGAATTCATCTATACAATTATTAGAGAAATTACCTCTAAGAGTTTCAAGATCAGCTTTGTAGACTTTGAGTTCGCTTAAATACTCCTTCCAACATTTCTGAAGGCTCTTGAAAGATGCCATCTGCTCGATATTATCCAGAACATACTCAACTAAACGATGTCAGAGATGATAAATTAGGATAACTTACTTTGTTCAAGACTTGATGTACAAGAACTAGGAGAAAACAGTAGCCACTGAGTCTTATCACTATAAAGGCTTGCAGCTCATCCTGATCAATAATACTCTTCATACTCTATACAACCCCTTAGCCAACTCCATCGCCTTCCAGATGTAAAATCCTTGAACTTACCTGGCACATACACTTCAACATTCTTCTTTCAGTCAATCTCAGTGCAAATCTGCGGAATCATTAAATTAATTAATTACATTTCCAACTAAAAGTTCCTTAACAGGGGTTTTGGGGTTTTGGGGTTTTGGGG